AACTTTCCCAATATGCATATACAAAGATAGATAGACAGATTGATACTTATTTTCTCCCACATACAGTTTTTGGTAAAAAAAAAACAAAAACAGAAACGCATTCTATGGCATAAACTACATTGGAAGTCATCAATTCAACATCAATCTCCCAAATCCTTTGGAAAAGAAAGTAATTTATCAGTTGGGTTAAACAATTGTCCCGGGAAACAGGAGATGATGACCTCATGGAAGCCACTGCAGCAGCTGTTGGAAAAAAAAAATTCCTGTATGCTTGTTGTATTCCTGTAAACTGCATTTTGGCTTCCATCTACATAAATACAACTACATAAATTAAATATGATCATCAGTGTTCTACATAAAAACATAATGCTTTATAGATTAGATTAAACATTTACTTTCACACAAAGTGTCATACAGAGTTAAAATGTTTCAGTCTTGTGTGAAGTCTAACATTTCTATTCTTTTTTCACTCGGCAGCTTCTTTTCATGTGTCCATCGTTTGTTTCAATTCTACTGACAGATCGTCTCCTGAGATAATCCAGCTCTTCACCTGATCTGTTTCACATTTTTATTAGCTCTCAGACAGTTTTAAAACCCCATGGGATTTCTGTGGCTCGTTTTCACAGTGCATTATTAGTTTTTATCCTTGCATATATTTGCTCCAATAATCAGGCCTGTGTAATGGTGCTAATAAGTCGTAGAGTAATGCCTTGCACAGTCACCTCTCAGTGTTTGAATAGTGTTGAAACATGTGGACCACAGAGATATAAGGAAATCTCCAGCGTGGATCTGAGTGTTTGTGCAACAGGCTGTTTCCTGATGAATTAGCCATTCGCAGGTCAAGTTTTCTTAACACTGTAATGTTTCCCAATCTTCAGATGAAAAGGTTGAAGGGAGGGATTGCTTCCATGTAGGCATCGGCCTTGGCCTGGAAGCAATTAGGAAATGGCTTTGAAATGCTATATGTTGTCCAGACTCTGTTACAGTATCATGTCACTCTAAACTTGTTTGTTCAAGGAGGGGAAAAAGATGCTAATGTGCTCTTTAGCTGTCTCTGCGAATGATACTTACAATGATAATGTCTTTCAGAATGAGGATGGAGACAGCATGTGCTGTGTTAGGTGGGAGCTCATCAACCATTACAGGCCCTTTTAGATCTGTCTAAACAAATGGATACACACAAGAACTCATTCTGCAAGATTTACCATCTTCCCGGTAACACTTTACATTAGGTTCGTTAACATAATTGCATTAGGTATCATGAATTTGTAACATTTTTATTAAACAAGATTTATATATAGTGCACATATAATATATGCACATAATATATATTTATTTACCCATTTATTTCGATGAGATTAAATGAATAGGGATTGCCTTGCTAGATATTGCAGGCTTCATGTCAGCTTCACCATATTTTGCACTTGGATCCTTATTTGAGGTTTTACGGAAACTTTTGAGCATGAAACTGATCAAAATCTATTTCTTAATCCTTATAGAACATCAGTGAACTATTATAGGATAGAAACGGAGACCGATTGATGACCCGAAACCATCTCTTATTTGATTATGACATAATGGCCGGGTTCATAGAAAGAGTAGAAGGAGATCAGAATGCTGGAGATACAGAGGGTGTTTAGCAAAATGGAATGTAGAGTTTACCATTTTGGGTTCCTCAGTGCATTCCTGGACTCAGCGCTGCATTAAGTAAATGGCTCTTCCTGGTCATTGGAGAGCTATCTTCTACTGTCGGGAATGCCTCTTGAGACATCACTGTTTATTTGAATGTTATGTCTAATGTGTGTGTGCGTGTGCTTTTTCTTTCATAAAATTGTACAGTGAAATGCCTGGCAGAGGGACAGATACCTTTCAGTGTAGTTTTGGGGAATGTTCTTCATAAATAGCCTTGAAACATCACATCTGTGCATGGCACTATGAGACAGGATTTCGACTGTGGAGGCCTCTGGTAATGCTTCATCTCAAAGATTTACCGTTTTAATTCTTTCCTGATTCTGAGAAGCTCTCATAGTCTTACAAATCAGTTACTGATAATGGATGCATCAAACAGACACTGAAAAAAAAGCATAATTCAAAAGGGGGACAAATTATATTTTAATATAATGTTAAAAGGAGTCAAGTCAAGCTTAACTGACAGCATTTGTGGCATAACACTTGTTACTACAAAAATGTATTTAAATGTTTTCCTCATTTTCTTTAAAGCAAAACCTGGTTTGCAGTGAGTCACTTACAGTAGAAGTAAACGGGGCAGTTCATAACCATTAATAGTTTCAATAAGATGTAAACTTAAAAATGTAAAATGTGCTTTATTTTGATTTCAGTATGAGAAAATCGCTTGCTATTTCTGTTACTATTAAGTTATATTCAGTTTTACAACTTTGTCACCAATACAATGCAGTGCCTTAAACCCTAAAATGACTATGACAGCTCATATAATTCACAATTTTAAAATACATTTACAGCTCAAATAATTCACACATTTTAAGAGAAGAATTTGTGTAAGAAATTTTATAAAATTATAAGCTTCACATTTTTGCTCCAAGTCCTCCAAAAAATGTGCCCCATTTACTTCCATCAAGGTAACCTTGATTTTTGCATTTTAAAGAAAACTAGAGACAAGCAAAAATAATTTGTTGTAATAATCAACATTATACCACAAATGCAGTGTGTTAAATATATGGAAATTCACATTTAAATACACATTTTAACTTTTAATGTTGTTGTGTTTTTAGTGATTCAAATGTAAGGTATAAAGTAAGGGCAGGACACGCATGTGTCAGGAGCCTGTTCATAAAACCGAATGGGCAGAGACGGATCAAAAGACCGTAAGGAGTGTGCAATTGAGGAGACAGAAGGACTGCAGCGCACACAGATGGGAAGATGGAGGGTGGATGAGAATGTGCTTGAAGGGTGGCAGATGCCTTGACTGACCCCCAGTGTAGCCTTGCATTCATTCGCTGGACATGACACAAAGACAAAAGACTGACCCAAACAGTACATACACTTGCCCATGCCTCGGGGTCAAAGGTCAGATTACCTTTCATCTAATTTTGTAGCACTGTTCTCTTTGAAAATGTTTTTGGGTTTTATATCAATAGAGGCCAAAGCAATTAGCGGCTGTTGATTTTCAGAAATACACATGACCGAGCAAGACAGATGGAAAAAAAGGTGGTGTTCCTCTAATGGGAACCAAATGAACAATATCCGACAATAAAAGATAAAGTAATTGTTTTTACCTCCTTTTTAATTAATTAATTAATTAATTTTTGCTTATCCTAACTATACACAATTATACAATAACTATATACAACTATAAACAATCATATTTCCACCTTCTGTTTTTGCGATCCTGTCAGAAGAGACTTGGGACCCATTATTAGGTTTGCAAACTGCTGTAATGTTCTTTTTATGTGGAACACACAAGAGAATGATTCTGAATAATATTATTCTGAATAAGGTTATAAAACCTCTGGTGGCTAAAGAAATGATCGGCTATCAATTTGCCGGAAAACACATGACACAGAAGGACAGATGAAAAAAAAGATGGTGTTCCTTTTATCAAGAGATTTGAATGCAAATCAACAATGTCCAACATCAAAAATAAAAGATTATGCAATAACTATACATATCTATACAC